GGGGAGGAGCTAGGTTGGTGGGGTGGAACCAGGCTAGGTGGGGAGGAGCTAGGGTTGGTGGGGTTGAACTCGGCTAGGTGGGGAGGAGCTAGGGTTGGTGGGGTGAAACTAGGCTAGGTGGGGAGGAGCTAGGGTTGGTGGGGTGAAACTAGGCTAGGTGGGGAGGAGCTAGGGTTGGTGGGGTAGAATTAGGCTAGGTGGGGAGGAGCTAGAGTTGGTGGGGTGGAACTAGGCTAGGTGAGGAGGAGCTAGGGTTGGTGGGGTGGAACTAGGCTAGATGAGGAGGAGCTAGGGTTGGTGGGGTAGAGCTAGGCTAGGCAAGGGAGGAGGAGCTATGGTTGGTGGGGCGGAACTTGGGTAGGTGAGGTGGAGCTGCGACAGTTGGGGGTGGTGGAAGTCTTGCATATCGTAGGCCAGTAGGTCTCCTGCAGTGCTCGTATGATCTTCTGCACTACTAACGATTAAAAAAAAAAGTCGCAATACAGTAGCTGGAGCAAATCACGTTTCTCTCCGTCGTGTATCAGTGTCTGGACTGGTCCAGGACGGACCGAAACGTTGCAAATAAGTTTATCTGAACATAAGGAAGGAGGAGCACAGCAGTAGGCCTACTGACCCATGTTAGGTACAGGCACACATTAGTGTAGTTATACAAGCAGATGTAGGTGATTGCAGTTATCATACATAGTAACATATGTGTAAATTACCTAGGATGACCCCCCAAAAAGTTATGCATTTGGGTTTCTTGACGAAGTGAGAGGTATTGGTGAATTTTGTACAACTACAACTACAACTACTACTACTTCAACTACTACAACATCTATACTATTACTTGTCACTACTAAACTTACTATATTGCTGCTACCTGTACAACTGTGATTACTTCCAAAAGTTATGAGACTCCTATCCTAAATGAGGGCTGTTGCTGAAATAATAATAATAATTATTATTATTATTATAATAATATCTTGCGTTTTTTTTCTACCAGGACAAAAACGAGCATTGTTTTCATGTGCATTTTTTTTTTACTTAAATCATGCAGTGTGGTTGTGAAATCGAGTTCCCATTGATCAAAATTTAAGTTGTGAAGAACCCGTTAAGTTTGGCTTTTGAGTTCAATATGGCGGAAAATGAGATGCCTTTTGGAATATATGTTGATGGCAGCTGTATTTTTCAATTGTGTGTGTGTGTGTGTGTGTGTGTGTGTGTGTGTGTGTGTGTGTGTGTGTGTGTGTGTGTGTGTTGTGTGTGTGTGTGTGTGTGTGTGTGTGTACTTACCTATATTTGGTTGAAGGGGTCGATTCACAGCTCCTGGCCCCACTTCGCTGGTTGCTACTAGGTGTGTTTGTGTGTGTGCTCACGTAATTATAGCTGAAGGGCTTGAGTCTCAGCTCCTGGCCACTCCCTCCTAACTTGCCTCTTACCTATTCTTAAAAGAGAATGCACGGATCCTGCCTTTTCTATTACTATTACTACTACTACTACTATTACTACTACGACTACTACTACTATTACTACTACTACGTTAAGGTCATGCCACTTCCTAACCACCCCACGGCTGTATAAATACTTCCTAACTCATCAATTCTTTGATAAGGCACCACACAGGAAAATCATGACTGTATAAAGGTCCACAAAGAAACAAGACTATAAAGCTCCCTACAGGGAGAAACATTACTTTGTAAAGCTCCATATAGAGAAATCAATATAAATTTAGTTCCACAAACTTTCTGAAACCCTTTATTGAAACATAATTTTATAAAGCCCCACATAGAGAAACATGACTATAAAGTTCCACGCAAAAATGAAATGACTCTAAAGCTCCACGTGGAGAAATCTAACTTCATTAAGCTTCACACAGAGAAAAAAGCCTGACTATAAAGCTTCACACACATGTGGCGATTGCACGATGCAACGCCTGCGCACACAGAAAGAGCAAGTTTGGCCACCGATGACTTGAAGAATTGAGACACTTATGCAACATATGTGAATCTTTATTGAAGAAACGTTTCGCCACACAGTGACTTCATCAGTCTTATACAAAGCAGGAAGGTATAAGGACTGAACACATCGACTCCAGGCTGAGGGACTGATACCTCAAACTCCTCCTCTCCTTATACCTTCCTGCTTTGTATAAGACTGATGACGCCACTGTGTGGCGAAACGTTTCTTCAATAAAAATTCCCATATGTTGCGTGTCTCAGTTCTTCAACTTGTCGGTTTTCAAAACCATTCATCACACCGATGACTTGGATGTTCCCTAATCTAGGCATCGCGATCGTCACCTCACCCACAAGAGGCAGTCTCTGTATATACGGGATTGAGAGGAGTGCTGCCGGATCCTGGTCCTCGGCAGCTGAGTGTTGAGTTTTGCAAGAGTCTGGCACCCTTCAAGGGCGGTGCCGTGATGCCGGTGAGGGGATCTTTGATCTAAGGAATTACTGGATGTCTTTTCATTTCTTGGGATGAAGATTACCGCCCATTCCATGGTGCTCTGCGACCCCTGTGGGTTTTGCGCTTTTCCTTGAATTTATTAAAATAATAATTATAATTTAATAATAATACATAATACTTGATAATAATAAAAGGCAGAACAATGTCCTCAGGAACTAGCCCATTCTCCAGCCTACTCAAGTTGGATACACGTTCAGAATTCAACATTGATTGTTTTGCCTCACCCGCCTCTTTGCCAGACGCAATGTGTCCTTAGTAAAGAGCAGGGGTGCAACAAGCACAAAGAGATAACTTAGTAAGCGTAAAAGGGCCAAAACTTTTCAACGCTTCCCTTCATATATGTAAGGGGAAGTACCAACAGGGCGTCCCCCATCCCGAGTTATTTTCAAGAAGGAGTGTTCCTCAAGTTAGTTCCTGATCAGCAGGGTTTTGCTTCCTGCATTGATTTGCTTGCTGCTGTTACTAACAGCCTAATTGATCAGACAGAGCCGCGGGGGTAGTGATCCACGGAATTGGCTACGCGTAGGCTAGAAGAGTAAAAAGAGCAAAAATTAACAGAGAAAGGCGTAAGAGTAGGAGAAGCACGTGGAGGAAGAGGAGGGATGAGGAGGCTGAGGTAGGTAAAGGAGGTTGGGTAGAGTGAAGGCATACGAAATTTCCTGTGAACGGCCCGGGAATGAACTTCTGCCGCCATCTCCTCGTGATAATGTTGCCTCCTGTGATTCTGCTGTTCCGCTCCCTGAGTTGCGTTGCGCCTTTCTCCCTACACTTGCCTTTCCTGGAGCTGTTGCTGCAGGCTGTTGCTCCCGCTCCCAGAGCTTGGCGTTGCTGCGTACCAGGAGCTGGCGTTTCTGCTGTTCCCAGGAGTGGGTTGCTGCTGTTCCCAGGAGCTGGCTTGCTGCTGTTCCCAGGAGCTGGCGTGCTGCTGTTCCAGGAGCTGGCGTTGCTGCCGTTCCAGGAGCTGGCTTTTGCTGCTGTTCCCAGGAGCTGGCGTTGCTGCTGTTCCCAGGAGCTGGCGTTGCTGCTGTTCCCAGGAGCTGGCGTTGCTGCTGTTCCCAGGAGCTGGCGTTGCTGCTGTTCCCAGGAGCTGGCGTTGCTGCTGTTCCCAGGAGCTGGCGTTGCTGCTGTTCCCAGGAGCTGGTGTTGCTGCTGTTCCAGGAGCTGGCGTTGCTGCTGTTCCCAGGAGCTGGTGTTGCTGCTGTTCCCAGGAGCTGGTGTTGCTGACGTTTCCAGGAGCTGGTGTTGCTGACGTTTCCAGGAGCTGGTGTTGCTGCTGTTCCCAGGAGCTGGTGTTGCTGCTGTTCCCAGGAGCTGGTGTTGCTGACGTTTCCAGGAGCTGGTGTTGCTGCTGTTCCCAGGAGCTGGTGTTGCTGCTGTTCCCAGGAGCTGGTGTTGCTGCTGTTCAGACTGGTGTTGCTGCTGTTCCCAGGAGCTGGTGTTACTGCTGTTCCCAGGAGCTGGTGTTGCTGCTGTTCCCAGGAGCTGGTGTTGCTGCTGTTCCCAGGAGCTGGTGTTGCTGCTGTTCCCAGGAGCTGGTATTGCTGCTGTGCTCAGGAGCTGGTGTTGCTGCTACTACTGCTGACGGTGCTATTACTGCTCTTGTTAGTGCTACTGCTTCAATGAAATGGTGTTACTACTGCTGCAGGTTTTGTTTGTGGTGGTGGTGGTGGTGGTGGTGGTGGTGGTGGTGGTGGTGGTGGTGGTGGTGGTGGTGGTGGTGGTGTGGCTGGTGTGGGGTGCTGCTGCTGCTGCTGCTGCTGCTGTTGCTGCTGCTGTTGCTGCTCCTTAGAGCTGATATTACGTCTACTGCATATAATTTTGCTGCTCGTAGGACTTGTTTTGCTGCTGCTGCTTTCCCTGCTGGTGTTGCTGTTCCAAGGAACTAATGCTGCTACTCGTGTTTATTCTGTTATGGCTGCTGCTGCTATTTCCTGCTGATGTTTTTGCTGCTGTTGTTGCTCCTGTTGGTGGTTTTCCTGCTGTTCTGGCTGCATCCTGAAAATCGAAGTCAGCATATTTACTGCATCTTATACAGTCGGATATGTGACTAGAGCACTGAAATGAAACATTGATGTTATTGAGTATTATACGGTGCGCTCTGTGGGATCCCCACGTTTTGTCCACGCTCCTACAGTTTGTGTGTGTGGTGTGGCGTAGGACAGTATTAAAAGTCGTGGCGTGTAGTGTATGGTGGTGTTAGAGAGAGATGTTGTTGTGGAGGAAGTTAGAGAGAGCGAGAGGTGATGTGTAGAGCGTCACATCCGGGGCCTGTGTGCCGGGGCAAGCTTGTGGTATGGCTCTCGTACTCAAGGACAACACATGGGGCTGCTGCTCTGTGTTGACGTCCTACCCTCTTGTGTGTGTGTGAGTTTTTTTTTTTTTTTAATCTCCTACTTCTCTCTTTACCCTACATAGTTAGCTTTTGTTTCCACTGTGTAACTATCATATAGAATAGGGTAGAAGCACACTGCTGATGTATCCAAATTTACTAAATTAAAAAAACCTATTTGAACCTTCAATTACTCTAACTCCCTAAAAATAAGCTTTAATAACTTGTGAGCCCTGAAGTGGAAAGCTTGTAGTTTTGGTTTTGATTCATTCATTATTTGGTGTACTTGCATGTTTATCATTTATTATATTTATACGAAGCGCTAAATCCGCGTGGGTCAGTCAGCTCAAAGAGTATTTGGAGGATCGATTCTCCATCAACTAAGTCACTCTAGAATAAATCTACATGATGCACCACTGTTATACATTAAGCTGTTGTATGTTTTAAACATTATACATCATACGATTTTTTCCATCATATTTATAGTTTCCATCGAATTTATAGTTTCCATCGTATTTATAGTTAACATTGTATTTATGCAACTTTAATTGGAATAGTTGCACTTAGTTTTGACTTTTCTTCTTTTCAGAAATGCTGATGGGTGTGAATAGTGGAGGTGCGTGTGATGTGATGGTTGTGCAGTCTCGTGTCAGATAAAAATAGTGACACGTACATCAAATTGGTGATGGTGTAAGTGTAGTAGATGTGAGTGAAGGCTAGAGAGGCACTGATGGGTGTGTGTCATGTCTCACTATAGCTAACAGTGTTGACACAAGCATCATCAGCCGCGTCTGTCCTCAGAACGAGGCAGTCTACCTGAGTGTGAACTCCCAGGGGCTGAGAAGACGAATCCACCACTGCTAGAGAAGAGTAACAGTCTTTGGATTGTCATCCTTGGAGGGTTATTGACCCGTTATAACCCAGTAAAGTCAAGCAGTGTCGTTTATTTCTATCGGAGTTCTTCGTTCCTCTTCCTAAGTGTACGACCAACGCCAGCGGCTCAACATCCAGGTACATGTTTTCCACGTCTCGCCCCACTTAGGAACAGAACCTGGGTTCCATAGATTGTGATCCGAACGTTGTACCTCTTACTACTCACTATTAGTATGATGTAGAGATCATAGAACAGCAGTGTGGGACAGATGAAAGGGGCATCATGTCCGGCTCTGACAGTGGAGAGAGCCAGGGGTCGTGCGCTTGTACCTGCGATGATGACTGTGGCGACAGATCGCTCTCTGCTGTATCCTCGCTCCGCGGGGCGGAGACCTCCTCAGGCTGCCCATCGTCGTCAGACTTCCAGCCTTCTGACCCCATCTGCGAGAGTGTGTCGCCAGCTTTCAACACCCGCTCCAGCAAGACTCGCGGTGTATCCAGGCGTGGCTGGCAGAGCCCACCGCCTCCGCCTCTGCCGGAGAAACGGAAGAACCAAATTCCGCCCGCCATCCCTCGGAGAGTAAAGATGCCCCAAGCAGAGGATCCAGGGTGCCCATCTCCATTAGAAAGGTGCTGGTGGGAGCAGCAACCGCTGTCGCCGACGAGCTGCGCCTCAGGTTACTGGGATCACAAACAGCAGCAACAACAGCAGACATGCAGGGAAGGGACCACCTCTTCCCCAGACTCTGACGGGTCAGAGGAGATGGAGCAGATGAAGGCTCTCTTCAACGCCTGTGACACTGACGGAGACGGCTACATAACCAGGTGAGTCTCCGTAGTGGAGCGTAACCTCCTGATAGTACTTTAGTTTTATAGTGCATTTAAACACCGTTGTACCCTCCTCGTCCTTGGATGAAACCTGGTTACCTTCCATTCTTCAGGCTCTGTATGACCACTACAAGTATAGCTCTTCCCCATGAGTAATAATAATAAACCTCAGTATGTAGAAACTCACTTCACAAATGACTGGATCCTCTTTAATATTAAGGTCCTCGGGTTCCCAAGTGATAGTAACTCCAGCTCTGCTGGAAGGAAAACTTTGAAGCTCCCGTAGCCACTGAACCCTTTCTGGAATATTTGACGATATCCTCATTTCCCTACTGAAGTCTCTCAGCTCAGACTGACGGATTTCAACACCTTGTATGAGCCCCTGGCAGCAGCGCTGTATAGCCCTTGTGGCTTTGCGCTTCTTTTTGATTATAATAATAATATATGAGCCCCGTCCTGCGTGATGGAATTATCATATGGAATAGGGTAGCAGCACACTGGCGATGTATCCAATTTTATTAAGAAAAATACTCAACGCTGAGATTTTCTACGCTACAATATATACCTGCTGGTAGTGGTAAATAGTTGTATTCTTTTCGGTATTATTTTTTTCTCTGGACGGACACACACACACACATACACACCTTATGAGGGACACCAGCAACCACTAGAGAGGCAGAGGAGTTGCGTGCATCACAGTCTATTTTATAATAATTTTTATTTGTATGAGCCCCCTACATGCTACAGGTTTACAGGCTTCCCATAAATATAATAATAATTATAATAATAATAATAATAAATAATAATAATAATAATAATAATAATAAATAAAATTTCTTTCAGTATAAATCATAAATCTCACAACGAAAAGAACGAAATTATTTACAAACATTTTATCTTAGACCGGGGAAAGATACGAACCTGCATCTCTGATTTCCCTCATGAGCAGGGAATCAGAGTATGCATTGCTACGGTACATCAACTCTGCCAGACCCCACATGAGTATGTTCTCTCAGTAGACACTTGGCCTTCATCACCAGGCTGGTGATAAGTTATTATTAGGCTCGTTCCGTGTACTGTTAAGCATCCTAAAATCTCTCATGGGCCAGTATGTGCGGGAGGATGAGATGAAACAATTGAATATAAGCTTGGGGTTCTCGGGTATGGCAAAGAACGCCTAGTAGCAGTACCTAACAAGCCGGGCAGTGGCTCGTACGTCGGTTTATGTGCGGCCAGCAGTAACAGCCTGATTGATCAGCTCCTGATCCACTACGAGGCCTGGTCTCGGACCGGGCCGCGGAGGTATTGACCCCCGAAATTCTCTGTAGGTAGTGTTTACTGGACGCCTGTACTTAAATGGGGTCTGGCTGAATATAGTACTGCGTGCTTTGGCTCTGCTTACGAGGGAAGATGTTTATAATTTATAGAACAAGCGAAATATTTACAAACATTTATCTCATACCAAAGGATTCTCGAACCTACGACCTTTAGGACAAAGTACGCATTGCTAGCCAGGCCACACGTAACTCCAGCGACCAGCGGATTAGGCATCTACCCCAGAGCTGGTGGTACTAAACAGTGATCAGTTGTGTTCATCACCACTCCTACATGCACTGGACAACGAGAGATATTAGAGCCCTTATAATTCGCAGACCAAGGCTGTATGACAGACTAGAGGCACTGAATGCTTCTCAGAAACCAAAAGCATCAACTTGACCCCACCAAGACCTTCAGGACTCCAGTGGAAATAAGTCACTTTGAATTTTTTTTTTCTGTTATCCTAGGTTTGTATGATAATTATGCTATGTATGATAATTTATGTATATCCTAGGTTTGTATGATAATTATGCTATGTATGATAATTTATGTAACTGTATTTATGTGTATCTGTGCCGGAATAAATTTATATACCAAGATCCCCAAGATCCCCTACCAAGGCACCCCTACTAAAATCTACTGCCAAGACCCCCCAAGTAAGATCCTCTACCAAGACCCCCTACCGAGATCCCGACTACCCAAAGAGGAAAGCAATAATCAATATCACAGGAGAGGAGCTGTTGAGGATGAAAATACCATTGTTTTTGGGGTCTCACAGCCTTAAAGGGAGATGAAGGGTGTGAGGGGGGAAAGATGGAGGAAAATGAGGGAAGGAAGGAGGAAAAACAATAGGTGGGTGAGTGAGACAGTTGAAGGGAGAAAAGGAGGGATATAGAAAAGTGTATATTAGTGTTGGAGGAAAGACTGAAGCATTATGTGAAGACATAAGAAGGTAACGACATGAAGGAATGGAGAAGAACGTAAGGAGGGATAGGAGGAATTTGAAAGAGTATGCAAAAAATGTAAAAGTGTTTGTCCTCAATCGCTACTCGATAATGGTTCACTACAACCGGAAGCGTCGTCAAGAGTGAGGGTTCGAAATACGAAATTGTAGCTACCTCCCCTTCCTCAGATCAAACCAGATTCTCTCTCATTCCCCAGACGCCGTGTTAGCCCAACAGGCTTAGCGCTTACCCATGAATATAATAACATATTGTCGGTAATTCTACCAACTTTATTACAATATAATAACAAAAACGACAGTAGTATGTGGAATTAAAAGCGGTTCATTGTTGTAAACAAGGATGGCCCTACTTCAGGCCCATGGCCAACAGGTTGATTTTTTTTATGGCCCAGGAATACTCATAAGAAACGATTTAGTATATGAGATAGTTGAAGAATTAGTTACATGTGTAGGTATATTTTGTAGACGTTTCGCCAACCAGTGGCGAAGTTATGATTCACCAAGAATCATGACTACGGTACTGAATAAAGACTACGGGAGTTGAGAGTAGGTTTGCTTCACTGTTGTTATTGGTATATGTGTCTGGAGCAGAGGTGTGATGGTACCGAGACTTGGTAAGCAAAGCCACGTATCCACAGTTCAGAACGTTTATTGAGGAAACGTTTCGCCTCCAGTGGCTTCTACAGTCCTGATTAGTACTGAAGAAGTAACTCTTGAAGTGTACATGTGTGTGTGTCTTTATCCACATTGTCTTTATACGAGCCAAGGTGAGACCCAAGCATGTGTCTACCTTGTGTCTACTTTTTTTTTTACTAAATGACCCTCCCTTCCACCCCATCATTTTTCCACTCCTTCCCTCCACCATTCTTCCTCTTTTCTCTTCTGTCACTCCTCCCTCTCTCCCTCTCCACCACGTGTCCCCAGCACTAATCACCTTTTAGGCTGCAAACTTTTCCTTTTGGCGGGGCTATTATGTGCCTCCTCCACTTGTGATGAGAGGCCAGGGCCAGCACGGGAGGCCAGGGCCAGCACGGGAGGCCAGGGCCAGCACGGGAGGACAGGACGAACACGACCCAGTGAAGGGGGAGGGGAAGAGAAAAAATAGGGAAAATCAGGTATGACTGATGAGACATAGGGAAAGTTTGAGGGGGGAAAATGGGGAAACATTGAGGTGAAAAAGGGAAGAATGACAGAGGGAATATAGGGAAAAAAACTTTCAGTAAAATTAGGGTAGACTTGAGATGTGGCGGGGAGAAATATGGAAAGACTGAAGGGAATTAGGAAAGATTAAGGGAAATATGGAAAGACTAGGACTAAATAGGGGAAACATTTTGGGGGGAAATATTGGAAGAATTAGTGGAAATGGTGTTAGAATGAAGAGGAAATTAGGGTAAACAGGAGAAATTTGCGCTCAAAAAAAATTAGGGTAAACAGTGGGAGAATGAGATGAAAATTCGAGGAAAAGTGAAGAAAATGAAGGAGAGAAAATTATGAGTAAGATCATTAATATTAAAGAGTCAACGTCAGAACAAGAATCAGGGAGAGAGAGAGAGAGAGAGAGAGAGAGAGAGAGAGAGAGAGAGAGAGAGAGAGAGAGAGAGAATGGGGGCAAGGAGGGAGGGTGATAGTGCCAGAAGAATGGGGGAACAGTAGGAGGAAGGCAATAGCCGAGACAAAAGGCAGCAAGAAACCCTGGGGCTAGGAAGACTCCTCCTTCTCTTCCTCTTACAATCGTCTTGTCCTCTCATCATCTCTATCCTTATCCTCCTCCTCCATCTCGTCCTCTTACCTTCTTCTGGCCTTCTCATCATCATCATCATCTTGCCATAACACGAGGGTCGTAGTGGTGAGCATTTGTTCCCTTAGGACTACATAGAGGGAAATTTTATCCTATCATTCAAGTTTGCTTCCGGAGGAACATGTGAAATAAAAATTGTCTGGACTCCTCCTGCTGTGTCTATTAGTTGCACTGCCATACTGGACCAGAGTGCGGTATCTGAACTCCTGCTGTGACTGTCAATTACAATGCCCTGCTGGACCAGAGTTCGGTGTCTGGACTCCTGCCGTGACTGTCAATTACAGTGCCCTACTGGACCAGAGTTCGGTGTCTGGACTACTCCTCCTGTGGCTGTCAGTTTCACTACACTGGTGCACGAGACTTTGTTCTGATTGAAACTGAACTTCTTGATGGCTAAAATACTACCGGGAGGTCGAATTTGAGACTGTTGATGGAAGGTTTACGAAGTTGGTTTGAATACGGAGCTGTAAGCGGGGTTTTTCCATATACAAACCAATAATTTAGAGCTTTGGTTGACCAATTGATAAACACTGGAATAAATGACATCCTATCCCTCCACAATCCAACACAATCACACCTTTGTAAAAAGAAAAAAATGCGGAGGCCTTTCAGAACACTTCACTCGCCAGCAACATCGACTGTACGAAAGCCTTCCAAATGGATTCTGAAATAAATATCTTTACGATGACAAGAAAACCATAAGGCCTAACGTCCTTGCACCTTAATATTCCAAAGATGTTTAGAAATAATGTCCATGATATAAAACCAAACGCGTGATGAATGGTTTGAAAAACCGACAAGTTGAAGATTACGCCTTTCTACTTTGTATTGGACTGATGAAGCCACTGTGGCGAAACGTTTCCTGAATAAAGATTCCCATATGTTGCATAAGTGTCTCAATCTTCAATCTTCAAAACC